TCCTGGGTTACAGGACTTGCAATTTTACCCAATTATCCCTGGAATTTGATACTCACAGGAAAGCAAGAATCACCACTAATTTGTTAGATGTGCTGTAGCTCTTTAAAGCAAAAGAATCACAACATAGAAACAACAAATTCTATTCATCAAAAGGTCATGGTAGCAAACGATAATTGCAAAAAATTGACTATATATATATAATATGTATTGACTATATATATATATTGACTATATAATATAAATCATGAAAGAAAAATCAAGGGAAAAATTATTCTTTGCTATCTGAGATTTCTCAGTGACATCTCTTGGCAACACACATCCAAAGTCAAACCCAACTATATCCTGTCTCAAGAATATTCACCTTCCTTATGGGCCCTGAACTGAGCCCAGTCCCATCTCAGTGGCCCCAGAGGGTAACAGCATACAGCTGTGTACAACTGAGCATCCGGAAAATCTCAGCTTCCTTTTCCTGTCAACAATCAACCTATTGTAATAAATGTTTAGTTCCCTTTGAATGTTTATATAAAAGAAATTAAAGCCCCTTTGTATTAGTATACCCATAGACTTTGTAATTGCTTTTTATATTTAACTTTAACTTTTTTTTCCTTTTTTTTTTTTTTTTTAATTCTTTTTTTTCTGGAACTCATTTAAATTACAATTTCTTTGTCCTTTCCAGAAAATACGTCTTGCTTCACAATATGCATATTCACATAACATTCTCTGTGAGCAGTAGAACGAAGCCTGCTTCCTATCACCACTGATGAAGTAAAAGAACCAATATATTCAGAAACCCCCATCACTATTATGTGCACATACAACTTCCAGTTAGAATCCGTCCAATTATGAGGATTAAAGTCATGTTGCAGTTGGGTTCCTACAAATAATTTCATAAAACATCTCTTCTTCTGTGCTACATGTGGTGCTGAAAGTATGTGTGTCCATTCTGCTCATCATACCTCTTCTTATCATTCTGTTTAGTTTTTGAATAGTCCCTACAAAGATTTCCAAGAAACAATACGTAATTTTGATCACATGGATTAATGCAGATCCTGACTATACATGATGGCTCTGCTACGAATTTTTAATCTTCATGTACTGTGCAGAATTGTGATCCTACTGTGATACTTTATTTATGCTGTAGAAGGCTTTTTAGAAATTAATAGAACTATCACCACTGACAATTTCTGTTCTTCAGTTTGTCAAACAACAGCACGTTCTATGTAAGATTGATTTTCACAGTAAAATAACTATGGGTCTTTAAGGACACAATATACAGTATCTCTAAAACACACCCAATGTTTGGCAACGATTTTGCATGGGACTTCCCACATCAGATAGAGACATGAGATCACTGAAAGAGAACAAAAGACCCAATTGCTTTTTTTTCCTGAGGCTGATATGGCACTAGTATGTCCCATGAGTCAGGATCCTTTATCAGAAGACATTTCTGCATCCAGGTTAATGGTACCCTCATTCAGTACGTGGTGGAAGATATGATCTTTCTGGTTTAACCTTTATTCTTACAAGGCATAGGCCAGATTTAAACATGCAGAAATTCACAAAGGCTCCACAACACAACTTAATCACGCTTGTCCTTCCCATGCTCAGATACACCCTTCTCACCTTTTATCAGAATAGTAGATTGGTTTCATTTCTGTAGCAGTGCTATTTTTGCCAAGAAATATATTGGTCTTTTACCTGCATCTGAGGATACGATCAGAAGACACACCGTCATACAGTAAGGTCTGCATTATACATTCATCTATAAAGCACAAAAGAATACAGAGTACTAGAGCAAAAAGCATCTTTCAAATGCAAGAACCGACTTCAGCTTCCTATTTTTTATGGGTCTCAGTATGTTCTAATATATTCAAGAAAGTAAGAATCTCCTGGTTTGTCTTCTTTTAGTCCAGCTAGAATTAGGCCTTCTCCTCTTACTACTGACTGTAAATGACTCCTTCAACCCCAGGCTACCTCCTACCTGAGAGCACACAAGCTGTCATGCAGAATACTGCCCATTAGGTTGGTTTTATCTCAGGGCATGTGTCATGTCACAGATGCATTAGGCAAACATAGTTAACAGAGGATGAGAAGCCAGGTACCGACACAGCAGCTACAGCAGAGCAGCTGCAACATGAAAACATGCGACCTTTACGAGATTTGTTTGTTGGCTCACAATACAGTCTTCTTAGTCAATCCTTGCTACCTTTTCCCCTTTGATTTCTTTTACCTTCCTATTTAGGCAGGTATCTTCCTCAGCCTCAAGTGTTGCTTTGCCTTTATTTGGTTGGTGATTGACTTCCCAGCAGAGCTGCTCTGTTGAAGAGGTGACCAAGCAAGACAGCTGCTGCTTCACCAACAAGATCATTTGGTGAAACTATGATTTTCATGGTGCGTTATCTACCTACCTCCCTCAGGATTTAGTGCCACAGCAATTATAGCATATGCACCATGGGCATTTAAAATAACTTACATTCTAGGATATAATTTCCTAGGTGGTGGGGCATTTTCTCTCTTTTCTGGAGTGAGTAATTAAAAAACGTTGTTGTCCGTGATGCAGAAAATCCAGTATTTGATAACAGCATTCCACAATTTAGATTGCTTCAGGTTTATTTTCTTTATGGAAAATCAACCAGAAAGATCATATCTTCCTGGAGCTGTGATTTTCAAGTAATGAGTGGTTGAGAAGAAATCAAAATGGGCAGAAATTTGGAAGAACTGCTAGAAAATCTGCAAAGACACGGGAAGGTTAAGGTGTGTATTTTAATTAATTCTGCTTGAGAAGATCACTGAACTTCCTGACAGATTAACAGGATGTAGAGAAGGTAAGGTTTGTTCATTTGTTCATTCTGCAGAGGGAGGTCTGATTGCCTGTATGTTTTGAAATTGAACATAGCTAGTGCTTCAACAACTGGGAAAAAGTGCTGGTGGGAGGTAAATCACTTATGATGTTGATTTCTCCATCGTTAAAGAAGAGGCGGCCCTAGCTTTGGAACACACCTTTGCTAAGAATATTTCCACACAGGCTGCAAACATTGGAACATTTGAAGCATCTCTAGCTTAGTTTTCCAAAGGACCAAAGCAGTTATTTCAAAGCAAAAACCCTGAAGGTCTAGCATGTAGCCCGCTTTGTGAGAAAGTGTGTATCTGCAAAGGCTGTCATTGAGAATCAGTGGAATAAACATTTCTGACTAAATGAAGTGAACATCCTAACTATTTCTGCAAGACAGCAAAACCCCAAGGAGTGCTGCTGCACATGGATGTGAGGGCACAAGAATTTTGTAACAGAATTATGTGACAGCTAAACAAACAAACAAATAAACAAGATGGGGAAGCTTGTCCCATGATGTGAAAAGTATATGTTGCTGCAAGACCTTCCTCACACACAGGCATGTGACTGCCATTTGGGCTACTGATGAAAAGGCAATACAAAGAGGAAGTTACAATACACGATAATTGCTTTGATTTTTGTATGTATGTATGTATGTATTTATTTATTTCTGTTCTAGGATATAACCATTCAAGAGAGGGAAAAATGTTAGCCAGGTGGCAAAGTTCTGGCAAGAATGGGTTCCACTGCCATGAAGTAGAGCAGCCTCTGTCTGGAACTTGCTGTCACTTATTTTTGTGCAAAATAGAGTTTTAATCTGTTGGAAAATACTTAGGCATATCACTGTCTAAGCAGCCAGTATTTGCATGACAGTGAGCAGACACTCCTTCCAGCAGGCAGGTTTGTGGCTGTTGGCAACAGGGCTCATGGCTGTGTCCATTCTGCAATGGAGCTCAGGGAGCACAGGAGTGAGCACAGCTTGGCAATCCATCTTCCTTGCTGAAGATGAGGGCTCTCCAACCCATGGTGGTCCTATACCCCCCAGTGCCACTTCACCAGTGTTTCTCAGCCCTGCGGTGAGGGGTTCTCTTAGAACCAGGTGCCAGCTTGTGAAGCCTGCCCTTCTCCTATCCATTGCCCCTTCACAAGTCATGCTGCCTCCTCAGTTTTACAAACATAGATAGTAGTGCAGCAGGCAGCAAGAAAAACAATTCCTCTGCCCCTTTCTGCAGGGTTACAGTTTGGGACAAGGAATGAAGGCAAGGGAGCAGCTGAAGAAATTCTTTTCCAAAGAGAGCCTTAGAAAGAGGAAGCGCGATGAATCCAGCGATTAGCTATTTCCTCCTTTCTGTCTCTTTGAAAGCCTGGGAAGAAGCAGGGCTGTGAGGGATCCCTTGCTCCATTTTGCATCTGGAGGAAGACTTATTTGCTGGCCAAGCTTCATGTGGGGACAAAGTATCCTGTGGGAGCCATACAGGGTGTTTGAGGCACAGAACTGCTATCATTGGGGACAAGTGGGGGCATGGGAACAGGATGGGAAGGGCAGCTATCACCATCCGCCTTGGCAGCATTTTATGAGACCTTTGGCAGTGAACATGAACACGTTATTTGCAAGAAGGGCTAAAATCTCAGTATAAATGAGGGTCCCTCTACACAGATGGCCTCAGAGGACTGTTTCTGAATATCTCTGGGCAACAGGTTCTGTTCTCTGAGCTCAGGCTGTTACTTTCAGCCCAGCTGACCCCTGACCAGGAGAAAAAAGCTCCCGCAGACAGGAAGGAGCAGGAGCACTGTTAGCGATCACATAGAACAAACAGAAGCGGAAGGGAGGCTAGAAAAGGGCATTTGCTTTTTTTTTTTTTTTTTTTTTTTTTTTTTAATTTTATTTGTATTTTTTAACAAAATTGGGTTACAAAGAGTCACAACACGACCAAAGCAGAAAGATGTTTTATCAGCGGTCAGGGCTGGTGGATATAAAGCAGTATCAGCACTTAACAAAAACAAAAACAAAACAAAACAAACACACTACAACAACCCACAAGACACCCGAACTCCCTCTCGGAGGCCTCCCCGCCCCCTCCGCCTCAGCGCCCGCCCCTTCCCGTCCGGGTGCAAGCGCGGCGCGGCGCTTGCTCGGCACGGCTCGCTGTGGTCTTCGCTGCAGCCGCGGTCGCGCCGCCGCCGGGCACTATGGGGGCCCCGCTGGCCCTAATGGTGCTGACGGCCCTGGTGGCGGCCGGCCGGAACGCGGCCTCCCTCCAGGAGCGGCCTCCCGCAGGTAACGGGTCGGGTTGGGGGTGCCGCTGGGGGCGGGAGGGGGCGGCGGAGCGGAGCGGACTACGCTGCCAGTGCTCTACGCCCACCTCGTGCGCGGCGGCAGCAAGAAAATGGAGGCTGTGCCCGGCCATCCCGGCGCTGTCCCGGCACGGAGGGCTTGGAGCGCGAGGGGGCCGCGCGTTGGCGGTGGGCGGGCCGCGTACGGAGCGGTGCTGGGCCGGCAGCAGCCGCTGCAAGCTGTCCGGGCGGGGTTACGGTGCGCTCCTTGTGTTGTGGAATTGAAGTGAAAGGTGGGGAGCGCATGGCTGTGAGTTCTAACAGGGCCTGGGGACCTATGGCCGCGGGGCGCTTCCAGCCACACGCGGGGCTGGAGGTGTGCTCAGGGCCGCCGGCAGCATCCGGTCCGGACTCTGAGCAGGTGGGACAGTGACAAATAAACGAAGACGGGAGAAATAGTCGGATCTGTGGGTTTCACTTCCATCCGGGACGGTTCAGTACCACCGGAGAGAGCCGTCTGTTGTCATGGCTCACGTCTGAAGAAGGCGCGCTTTATTGAGAATGGCATGGAGCTCCGTTACACTCCTTGCATGAGTTTAAAAGTAGGAGCATGCCTGCACTTGGATACGAGCGGCCCTGGCACTGGGCAGGACTGGGGAAGATGGCTGGGGCTCACCTGCTGGGTGCTGGGGGCTGTAAGACTTGCAGGCCAGCTGCTGACGTGCTACAGGGCACCCATCTTGCCAAAATCCAGGCTTACTCAGCACAGCGTTTATCACAGTGGGGCTGCTATGGGATAGCTGATATATATACATACATACATACATATCAAGCTTCCTGAGAAAACTAGCACTTTCTTTCTACACAAGCACAGCAAACCCTGAAAGGAACAGCACATGCTTCTGAGGTATGTTTTGGCAACACGAACAGGGGTTTTCGTGATGACTAGCACTGAGGTTAGCCATAGCCTCAGTAACTGAACCATTCAGAGACTCCGACATTTAAGCCAAAAATTGTTTTGTTTTTTTTTTTTTTTAGCTAACAAAAACATGCAGGGAATTTTGATATCACTGTGTATTAGATCAATGAAGAAACAGGCTGTATCCGTACTGACAAACTGTTATTACACAGATGCAAACAGATATGCAGTATTAGATTGGAAAAACATGAACAGAAGAGTGGGAATTCTGAAACATGTTTATGTGTTCTTTTGTTAGAAAGAGTAATTACTTTCTGCAGATTCAGTAGGGGCTTTTGGTGTCCTGGTAGTGTATGATATATATACTTCAGGCAATGAGGAAGTGCCCTTCTGTCAGTTATCTCTTGCTCCAGGATGTAACTTTTCCTTGAAAAGGCAGGCAGCAGTTATCTGAGTAGCTGATACATGCCTGCAGCTGGTTGCTTGTGTCAGCCTCTGTCTGCCTGTGACTCATCGGTGGTGCAAGGCTCTTGGCCATGGGAACTATTTTTATTTCTGTATCCAGAATGAGGTTTCTGATCAAGGTTACAATAGCAACAGTAGACATAGACTATGATGCAGCATCAGGTGTGTCTTGCACCTTGGAAGCAAGTTTTCCAGACAGCTTGTGTAATTCCTGTTTGTGGCTGACCAGTGTGTGTGGTTGTCTTTTTGGTTTGTTATTTTGGCTCTTATTACTGGCAGTCATAGCAGTTCTTCTCAGCTGCAGACTTTCTAATAGCGCTCTATTTAGATATCTACTTTAATGACTTCTCAGGTATAAAAAAAAAATAAAAAGTAGACACATGTAATGCTGTAATGGGATGATGATGGTAGGGTGGCAAAGTCTTTGCCTACAGCAAATGAGAACAAGCCCAAGTGTAGCATACACAGAAATGCAGGAAAAGAGCTGCTTACCTGTCAAAGGCCTCAGGTAGGCAGGGATCTCCAGCAAGAGATGCTTTCACCTCCAGTGCCAGCCCTTAAATGATGTCTGGGAAGGGATAGATCCTGGCTTCACCCCTTCTGGTCACTCAGGTGCATTGCATTCACCTGAGCTCTGACTTCCCACCAGGTGCTCAATCAGGTGTTCAGGCCATGACTTAGTATTTCCACTACAATGCTGAATATATTTTCAATTTTAATGTCAAAGCAGTTTTTAAGATGTTCATCTTGTGCAACTTCCTGGGTTGTTTTTTTTTATATTTTTTTCTTTAGGACATTGGTCTAGGTCTAACCCAGTTCATACAGCACATTACCTCCATCAGCTTTCATTCGTAAACAACAATTTTAAAAGCACTGTGGGACACCTCAAAATGTTACCCCCAGTCTTTGTACTCTTTTCATCTGTAAATTGAATGTGTTTTCCTTCTTGAATTTAAGATCCTTCTGAGAACTTCTGATAGAACCTTATGCACTGAAATGCTGTTGCTAATTCAAGCTGACTTTAAATAACTTCATTATGAATATACCACCAAGGAAGAAGAGTAGTGTTACAGTTGAGGTGTATGTCCCGAGTTTCTTTAGAGGAGTCAATGAAAGCAGGTGAAGGTGAGCATGGGAGGTTAGCAGATGCTACATGGCTGCTGTCACCCCAGGGGTGGCCAGATAGGTTGCAGGACCAATATCCTTTGCACCTTGGCAGCCTGCTGCCAACCTGCCCTGCTCCCTGCCACAGTGAGCCTAGTGCCAAGGTGCAGACTCTCACCTCTGAGCTGCTTCCAGTCCATTCCTCAGGGTGTAGGTTGCCTTTGTGCAGCCTTTTACTTTTTTTTCCACGAGGGGGAGATTTGGATTAGATGCTGGGGAAGTTTTTCACAGAAAGGGGCAGTGAGGTGCTGGCACAGACAACTCACAGAAGCTGTGGATGCCCCATGCCTGGAGACATTCAGGGCCAGGTTGGATGCAGCCCTGCGCAACCTTATTTAGCACCTGATTTAGTGGTTGGCAGCCCTGCCCACAGCGGGGGGATTGCAACTGGGTGGTCTTTGAGGTCCTTACCAGCCTAAGTTGTGGTGATTCTGTGATTGCTGTGGTCTTGCAGAAGTGTTCTCAGGGTTGTGCGGATTTACCTGGACATTTTAGCCTTTTCTTCCTCTTCAGTAGTGTTGATGGGCTAAGGAGAAATGATTTTTTTTTTTTAATATTTATGGAGGCACCAAAGCTGCTGCCCTTCCTGAGTGCTGTGAATGTGAATGTATGAGCTCAGATGGAGCACGGGGCTGACATAAGGGGGCACAATGCTTTCCTAGCCAGCAACCCAGAAGGATGGATCTTTAACTTTGTCAAGGCTGTCAGAAAGACAATAGAGACTTCAGCAACCATGATTTTGCACAGAAGTAGAATTAGGTACGTGCGTTATGAAACAGCATTCAAGGAACCTTAGGTCTGTGGAGTAAAGGGAGAGGGTAAGCCAATGAGATCTATTTTTTCTTTTAACCAGAGTAAAAGAAACTAGATAGCTTTGGATTTTGAGAGTAAAGAAAAATGTCAGAAAGTAAACATAGGAGTAACAAGAGGCTAAGAGCATGCACAAGTGTTATCTCAGGGTGACTTGGAAGATGACTACCTAACAGAGAATAACAGAAGTGGAAATGCAACCACAAAGCTGACCTCAGCAAACTCTCACCAGCATCAGTTTAAATAGCATAACCAACATGCATAACTCAGAGAGCAACATAGATATATAAACACTGCAAACTAACTAATGTTGGTGTGGCAGAGACCTCTGCAGATGTGATGGGTACTGTAGTGTCTGTGTATAAAATCAAATGTCATCTCAAGTGTGCAGTTATCTTCATTCAAATATTAGAACTTTGGAGACTTCTGTGTCTTCGGCAAACCTGCGTAGCGAACAGGACAGAAATGCATATAGGAGGAGGTTAAAAGCCACTGAAAGACTTTTGTTCTACTGCATGTATATACTGCTAGCTTTCAGGCTGCTGGAAATAATGCATATATTTTAAAATGTCTTCCAAAGTAAAATGAACCTAGCTTAGCAAAGAAGTGTACCTAGCTATGTGCTCTAGCAAAATAGCTCACAGAACTAATCCAGTAGTTGCACACAATATATGGTACAGTGCTGTCTCATAAACATCAGAAAACACTTGCTACTAACTACAAGGCAAACCTTGTTCTGTTTATTGAAATATGATATTGTCTTAGAGGTCAAGGTGGATAGGGCTAATTGCAGGTAGAAATCACCACGTTTTGAACTGGGAGTGAACTAGAACTATTTGAATGTCTTATATGGTGCAGCGTGATTTGATTTACTGGTCAGTTTTCTGCTTGCTTTTTCCATACTTAGTTTGTTTGGTTTTGTGCCTTGAGTGTTGCTGCGTTTCTGTTTGTTTATCTTAAATCAGAAGTTTTCTATTTGAAGAATAGCCTTGTGGCAGCCACTGCCACCTTCCTCGAGTTGCACATGCTGGACTGTGGAAGAGAACAGCTCATGGTGTGTTTAAAAAAATGACTGTTTCATAAATAAAATGGTGTTCAAATAAAGTATTGTGGCGTTTATTTGGCAGTATGCAGAAACAGTATATGTGATGATTAAATGGTAAAGCTTTGGAAATCTGCAGTGCATTTGTGCTGGAATGGAATGTGGCTGACCTGTCCCAGCCTGTGCACGCATCAGGGGGCAGGAAGGAGGAGACATCATTAGAAGTCAGATAGACAATTTGAGGAAGAAGAAACAGTGAGCTGGACACTTAAGATTCTTTTAAAAACAAACAAAAACAGGGGAGGTAATAAACCTGAAGAAAAGAACTAAAGTTGCCTGGTCAAGGTGTTAAAAGTAGACTAGTTTATCCATTTTACACACCCATTTCTAGGTCCTGTGGTCTAATCTGTCATAATGCTGAGCCCTCACTTCAGCATCTTACACTGCTGCAGCTGAAGCTATTGCTGGCTGAACTGACCAAAGTGGTCCTTGGTGGCTCAAGTGACCAGGACCTGTTTGCAGGCAGAGATCTTGTCTTCCATGTAAATAATGTAAATAACTAGTGCAGTTGGGAAAAGGAGATGATAATCCAGGCCTTCCTTGATTTTAGAGTAGAACCAGCAATCCTCAAAAATAAACACAGGCTGAGAACAATTAACATCAAAGTTACTATCTATTTGTTAGACAGTCAGAGACAGGACGGACTGCCTGTGGAGAATAAGGGCAAAGGAGCAAAGGTGTCATCCCCTAGGAAAAGAGGAGGTAATTCTTGGCCTGTGAAACATGGCAAGATGAATGAGTTAAAAGATGTGCTATAAACTTGCTTCTCTACTGGTTTTTGCTCTTACGTAGCATTAAGAATTTTAGCTGTTCAGCCTATGCTGAAGAGTGTGTCTTTGGTCTGTCTTTAAGGATGTGGAGTGGAACATAAAGAGATGGAGACCAGTTCATGGGAGATACTGCTTGGCTAACATCACTAGAAAGAAAGTTGTTAATAGTAAGGATGCAAGGGATGAGACTGTGTGACTCTTGCTCCTGTAAGTGATCCAGGCCACCTTTCTGGTGGTTGAGAGGGTGGTTTAAATGGTGGTGTGGTTTGTGAAGAAGGTTGTCTTTTCAGGAGGAGGGCTTATTTTCTGCTAGTTTCTGCCAGTAATCTCAGAGCTGGAGCATGTTAAAAGTAATCTCTGGGAGGAAGAGCAAAGAACTAAGCTGAGTAATCCTTCTTGGAGTTGGAGGAGTGGAGAGACAATTTAGTAGATTGTTCTTGTTGGTCACTCTGCAGATTTCCTGAGTATTTGGTTCCCATGCCTTAGATTGGTAAGTGGGAATCATGCTCACCTCACTTATGGAGGTGCTGGGAAAATACTTCAGTAGATGTAAATGCTTTGCTGACTTAATATAGCAATAAGCACCATATAAACTTTTAGCTGGAATAATAACTCTTTCATATGAATCACATTTGAATAACTAAGTCATAGAGATGCTTAGAGATTTGAATTAAAGAAAATACTCAAGACTGTTCATTAGCCCTCTGTGTCATCTGTATACAGAATAGAATAAAACTGTGGGAGCAGGAAAAAGCAAAATGTTGTGTAATTGAACAGCTAAATCCATGTAGCTTCTACTGATGATTCAAATATCTCCTGGAATTTCATTGCCTACTCTTCTGCTCAAAGCAGTTCTGTTCTTACAGTAGTACACAACAGTAAGATTTCACAACAGTAAACTGCCTCAAGTATTTACATTTTGGGAAGCAATGTGACATATGTGTGTCTTGACACCTCTTCTGTCAATTTGTCACCTTTTTTTTTTCTTGTGGTTGAGAAATTGATGATTGTGTTCCTTTTTTCCAATAACTGAATGCCACTTTCGTACACGCTGTGAAAGAACCAAACCGCAGCACCGTTCACAGAGTGACGTCTGTTATGTGTATCACAGCTTTGTGGTTAAATTAATAGCAGATCTCAGCCTCTCTGTGCTACTTTCTGTAAAGTGCTGTCTTTGTGGTCTTGTTTTCAAGACATGAAAATTGTTTACTTTCCCTCAATAAATCACAAAGTGAAATGAGAACGCTTCGTTTTGTGAGAAGTTCCCAATGGGCAGGTCAAATATGAGCTAGCTTTCATCATCTCACAAAAGCTAAATTAACAGAGTCAAACACTGAGAATCAGAAATTGAGAAGCTAAGATGTGGCAGTTAAAATAGTTGAGTAACCTTCATTTTTCCTCATCAGAATGCCACGCAGCAGCCTTTAAATAGTCACAGGATCATGTAATTTTCCTTCCCCTGCAGCTGCTCACCAGTGCCCCTGCTGCTGTTGGTGCTCAGAACAGAAGTTTGCTAAATGAGGAAAATATCAGTGCTGCTTCTTATTTTTGTCACTTATTACCTCACCTGTAATGTTATTGAATGTACTTCAAATGATCTCTTGAGCATGGAGCCACGTGCTAACTTCAGTATTCAAATTCCTTACAAATGCTGGTAGCTTTTTATTATCACACACTTTAAAAAAAAAAAAAAAAAAATACTGCTGGGGATGTAAAAATGTCCGTGTCAGAAGTTCACATTGAATCCAAGCTTTATCCAGCAGACCTGTTGTCTTTTGGCAAGGCTGTATTAGGAGACATTAGGCCCCCCTGGAACTCAGAGCCTGCATTCTGCAGCTTTGGTAACATCCCTGCTCAGCCCCATCTGTCTGATTCAGTTCTGAAGAGCAGCAGAAATCTGCAGGACTTGGGCAGATCTCCTCTAACTTCAGAACACACACACTGTCTGTCCTGGCTTATCTGTGTAATATTGACAAAGCTGTGTCATTGTCACAGGTGATGAACCTGGTACATGCTCTCTGGTGGACTTGTTTTCAGCGAGCATGGATTATATGAGGTTTTGAGTTGCAAACAGGAAGAAAACTGTCTCTGCAGGAAAAAGAAAAGTAAATCAGCATGCAGGGCTCAAATGTGTTTGTACTGGTGGCAAACAGGGTCCAATTGGGGAGAATAATCTCCAATTTTTAAGTCTAATTTTTCCAGCCATTTCTAGCATGTTGCCTTTTGCAAATAATAAAGTAATATATTTGATAGTTCTCATATTTTACTAAGTGCAATTGTTTTGTTTCTTCCAGTGCCTTCACCAACAGGGATTTTAGTCACATCCAAAAATTTCAGAACTGTCTTGCACTGGCAGTACCCATCCATGTCTGAAACTCCTCATTTTGTTGTGGAAGTCAAACCTTACCAGTAAGTTCATATTCTTTCACCATTTCCTGCATCTCATTTTTTTCTTGAAGCGAAAACAATCAGTTCATGGAAAACAGTTTTGTTTGTTTGTCCTGAAGTCCTGTAGAATGAAGGTTTCTTAAGTGTAAATTAAGCCAAAATGTGTCTAATTATAACATAGTTGAGACTGGAAGGGACTTATGGAAGTCATCAGATCCAAGCCCTGCTCAAGCAGGGCCACACAGAGCAGGGAGTCCAGCACCATGTCCAAGCAACTTTCGAAGGTCTTCAAGGAGGAGACCCCAACCTGTGCCACCCAGCCATGCTGTTATTTTATCATGGGCAGTGTATTGTTCAGTATTGTCCTGTGGCATATAGTTAATAGTTTTTTCTTGGTCTTTTTACAGCCTTGGCAACTACACAACTGTTTCAACTTGTGTGAACATCTCAGCTACTTCTTGCGATCTATCAGAGGAAATAAAGGAAATTTTTCTGTCTTACTGGTTTCGTATTAAAGCTATTGTAGGATCACAACAGTCTGAGTACATTGAGACAAATGAGTTTGTTTTGCAAAGGCATGGTAAGTCCCATCATAAACTAAGTCTTGTAAATTTTCTCCCAGCATTGTCTTTTTCCTTTCCCTTTCCTTTCCCTTTCCTTTCCCTTCCCTTTCCTTTCCCTTTCCTTTTCAAGTATTCTTTTGTGCTGTTTTATCATGGCTCATAAGGTCAGGAGTCCAGGGCAGAGTGAAGCACGACGATTGTTCAGTAGAAACTTCTGTAGTACTGTCTCTGCAGGGACTTGTTTGTCCTGTCACTGGAGTATTTGAAGATCTTTTTAAAAGCTTTTCAGGGCAGAGAGAAGTGATGAGGACAGTGCATTCCTTGCATGCTTTTTATGTATTTGCCTGGTGGATCAGATACTGAGATAGGGTAAGAAATGGCCCCCACATGCTGTGGACCTTTTGGCATTTAGAAGTTGTTCTCAATTGGTAGGTGATAAATACCTACAATGGACAATAAAGCCCCACTTAACAAGTTGGATTTCATAATGGTAATTTGTTAGTTCCATTTTAGAAGCAGATTCACTAACATACTGAAATGCCTCTTCCCAGTGTTGCAACTATATGATGTTAATAGCATTCAAAATAAATGTATCAATCTTCTCAAGTCTCCACTGAATTTTAGGAATTTAACTATACTTAGCTTGTTTTGTTGAATTTCTTTTTTTCAATACTGTGTTAAAAATGTTGGCCTAATAACAAAGGTAAAACATATTGCAGGAAAAATTGGACCACCAAAGCTGAATCTCTCAAGGCACGGTGCTGAAATCAGAGTTGATATTTACAATCCTGAATTTCCATCTGTGGAGGTTCAGCCTTGGCTCGAAGAAGTTTATTCACAGCTCTCATACTCAGTGATGTTTAGAAATAGTGAAAATGAGGTAAGTTTCAAAGTGAAAAATTAAATTCAAATTAAAAATACGTTTGTGTGTTTTAAATGCTTAGCAAGGAGTTTGCTCTCTGTGACACACCCAGCCTAGATACCAAGAGAATAGCTGAATGTAACAGAATAATGCTGAAGCTCTAACATGTGGGTCGTGATGAAAGAGCTGATTTAAAGGTCTGAATGTTAGAAGACATGCAAATGGGCAACTAACATTCAGACCTTTAAATCAGCTCTTCGTGTTAGTTGTCCATTTGCATGTCTTCTAACAATAGTCAGATGATAGCAGCAGCTGCACACAAACCACAAGGATACTGCATCACACACAATTATTTCTACATACCCACCAAGACACGGATAATTTCACTTGTGCCCCTTTCACTTGTTTCAATAGAGCTTTCATTTCACAAGGTTAACCTTCAAAGTATTGATACCATGTTACTTAGAGTCATAGAGGGTGAACTTTTGGAAAGTGACAGTACGTGGGTTAGAGTTACTTTTTGTAACTATGAACTATGGGTGAAGGTGTGGAATATGGATAGAGCATGTTTTGGATGTGTCTGAAGATTGTTGATGAGAGCACCACATCAAAAGGAACGTTTTAGGGTGGCTCATAGGTTGGTGTCTGAGGTTTCCAGCTGTGGCAAGGCATGTATCTGTAGGAGCCACATCTAATGATATTTTTGTAACATTTTAGAGGTGTTAGAAGATACTGTAACATTTGTATTGAGTCAAATGATACCTTATTTTGATTTTTGATATATATATGTTTTCTTTTAGAGCAGAAAAAATTTCACTGTAGCAGACTGTGAGATGAGTGAATGTAGCCTGAACATCCCAGTTCCTTCTGAAGGTTCCATGTACTGTGTTTCGGCAAACGGGCATTTTTATGATGATCTGATAGTTGGTGCCCAGTCGGAAGAAAGTTGCATTTGGGTTCCTCCCGAGCAGGCTTGGAGTAAGCAGACTCTTAAACTGTACAAAGAATCTCTTGAGTCTGATCAGAGATATGATACAGCAAGTTGCTGAAGCTGTGGTGCAGCCATGGGACCACTTGGACATCTATGGGAGAGTATGAAAAAAGGAAAAGCGTGAGCATTCTTTTCGAAATGCACTCTCTCAGTTCTAAAGGCTTTTAAACACTATGTATTATTTTCAAGTAACCTTGATTTTCCTGGGTACTTTTCCAACCTCACTGGTATCCTAAAACGTGCTTTCTTTGCACCTGGTCATTTGTGGAATTAACAAATGACAGATGAATTGTTCATTGAGTGACGGCTTTTGGAAACACCGAGCCTATCTTCTAATAAATGGCATCTTGCTGAATCATATCACTGAAGAAAGTGTGTGCGGACATTCTGGAGCTTAAAGTGACTCTGAATTTGTAATTAAAAAAAAATGTAATAAAATCTGTTTTTGTCTTAATTAAAGGGAATGAAGGCAGTTAGTGTCTCAACTTTGTATCTCTAGTACAGTTTGACTTTTTTTTTTTTAAATACTCCATCATGGTTCTAAACTTCATCAGGGAAAGAGAGAAAATTTCTAAAAGCAGTCATGTATTGTTTTTTTTTTATTGTTATGCACAGGAAGAGCAGTGTGGTTGAGGGGGAAGACTAAGGAAGATTGGACTTGTGGACTCCTGTTAGTTTTAGATAACAATTCTGCATTGTGGAAAATTTCACATTTCAATTTTGTTGCACAAAGATTATGTGCAGCAATTCTTATGGCAGTTAATAGGATATCACACAGAGAATGTGTTGCTTTTTTAGAAAAAAGTTTGTTCCCATACGGACTTGCTAAGGAGGAAAAAGAAACAGTTATTTAATTCCTTTACTTCTATAAAAGCATGACTGTTGGATAAATTGAAAATCTCTCGTAATTTTTATTGATTTTGTGTATTGTTTTACAAGTTCTCTTGAGTGGGGGGAAAAAAAGCAATAAATCGATAAATTCACATTTGTTCTAAATGGTATAGTATTTATTTTCCCAGCTGCTTAATGGAATTTGTTCTACTTTCCTAGGTACACTAATTACTATAATTGTATCTGCAATTATACTGATTGTGGGGCTAACTTTGACAGTGTGTTATGGCTGCAAGAAGCTAAGGAAGAAAAACATAAAGCTGCCTAAATCTTTGGTAAGTTTAGCCTTGCTGTCTGTGTCAGATTTGTCATCTCCAACTGGGTAATTTTTTTTTTCTTTGTAACAACAACTTTATGGTCATTTTGGTTGTTTGTGCCATGATCACATAGAAGTTTAGAATTTATACCAGTCTTAAGATTCTGATTGCCTCTACAATCAGTTGTATTCAACTGATTCAAATCAGTTGTCCTGTATTGGCTTTAGGATTAGACTTTGGTGGCTGTTTAACTGATGTAACATTACTTGATCTATTTTGAGAACTTAGTTCCCAAAAACCCGTTTGTGTGTACGTAGGCAGATTTGTATTCACTGTAATGGGGGGTTGGACTCGATGATCTCTGGAGGTCCCTTCCAACCCCTACAATTCTGTGATTCTGTGATTCTGTAATAGCAGAGACATAAGAATTATTGACGTTAGAAGATACTTTTTGAGGTTGTCTTGTTTTTTGCTCAGGCGGGTTGCTCCAGACTTCACCCCCTGGGGTTTTGAACATCTCTAAGGAAGAAGACTCCACTACCTGTCTGGGCAACCTAGTCTAGAGTTCTAATAACTTTGCAGTAGGAGACTGTTTTCTTATGTTCAGTTAGGATTTCATCTGTTTGGGTTTTGTGCCCGTTGCCTTTTGTCCTGTCACTTGATGTGCATGAGATTCCTTCATTACATAGTGATACTGTAATACTGCTGAGTATTACAATCTTCTTAGTGATGTGCAGAGTAAGAAGGAAAAAAAGAAGTAATAACACTGTAGAAAAAGGGAGGAAAAAGTAGTAGGGGAAATCAGTTCTCACAATGAGCAGTTACAGGGAAGAGGATCAGCTCTGCCTTAAAAGCTCTCTGCAGTGCTTGAAGAGCAGTAGAAGCCTCAGTGCTTTCATACCAAGCAAGAGTGAATGTCTGGCAAGTATCACTCTGCTGTCCTTAGTTATAGCAGCTGAACAACCAATAGCAGTCGAAAGAATTTTCAAGAACTGTCATGTGAGGTAGTAGTAATTCTTAAATGATAATCATATCAAATCTGTATCTTGGCAGTAAGTCTCATAAAGACTTCTCTAGTGAAGAGACATTCCACATTCTTCAACTTCAGGACTCTTAAAGTGACACATAATGCAGGGTAGCTGTTACCTTCCTGGAGCCTGCTTTGTTTGGAATAGAATGTTAGCAGGCGGCATTGCTCTGACTAAATGAAGATGTCCTAGCAAGTTACACTGGGTCCCTTTGTCCTAAGCAGTCATCTAGTCCACCAAATTGTGCAGAAAGTCTGATTTACAGCACTCATAAGAATCATTTTAATACACGAGATATGAATAGCATTGGGAATGCAAAATGAGTAATTAATAACTTATGATTTATCTTCATACTATTAAAATTATATTTTAAATACCTTGGATTATTAGTTTAATGAATTACTAATGCAAGCAATAATTTATATGAGTAAGTTTTAATGGAGGGAAGAGTTATCCCTGCAGGCATCTGTTACTGAACTTTTGTGCTTTACCTGATCTTGTCTGAGAGTGAAAAATCTCAGGAGTGTTTCCAAATGTCAGAAGGCTGTAGACAAGATGTCCCACTGTAAATCTGCTGCTTTCCAGCGATCTGCTTCAGTTAGATACTATACAGTCAGATCATTTGAGTGACCTTCAGGAGGCTGAAACTCTACATCAGAAAGCTGCCTTAGCTGCTGAGATATTACAGGCAAATAAGGGGAGAAAATCCATCGTCATTTAGATCACAAGAGCTTTAATAACATTGTCGCGATGCTGCTCAGGTCTTCCCAAGAGTGCCATGTCAGTCACATTCAGGTCTTTCAATGTGGACATAAAATGGTCACTACCATTAGAGAAAGTGTTACTTTAAATGTTTGAAATACCCTTGTTCATAACAAGGCCCCACAAGAAATATAAATCTAGTGAAATGGGACAGATTCCTAACAATAATTCATGATGCTGGTGTGCTGCTGGATGACAGGAACCTGATATTTCAGTGTCTAGCTGCAGAGAGAACCATTTGTTTTCATCCAGTTACCTCACAAAGAGTATTTCAAGATGCTGATACCTTACAGTCATCATCCTCATTCATTCCAACTTGTCCTTCATGTGGAAGCAGATTCTTGTTGTAAGATCTACGATAGCAGTTTATCCATTTTAAGAGGAGCCAGTCCTTAATTTACTGATAAGCTGTGGCCATCTTTGTTTACTTCAACTTTGCTGTGTTTTATTCAGTGTTCTTGTCTTTAAATGGTGGAAAATGTCTCAGTAGGAAGAGAACACACTAACTCCACAAGGCAAAGCCTTATCAAAAAGTATCAAGGTGTATTTTTATCTCGTGCTTAAGTAAACTTTTCTGCAAGCTGCTGATGCTTTTTCTGAGTGTGAAGGGGTGACATGGTTGTGTTCTCTCGCTGTATTTGCATAACACTTAGAAATAGTGTCAGTTTGTGACTGGATTTTTTGGTTATTAGGATTATATGACATACATTTTCAATTTGAAGAAACCGTAATTGCTTGTCCCCGTAAATCTTACTGGTGATATTTGGCATAAATAATTACTGTCTTAAAAGAAAGAAGTTAGTTCATTAACATTTGTGAAGGATTTTTTTCCCTATGGACACTTACAGGACAGCAACGTAGTTTTCTAATTGCACATTCACCCAGCATTAATTTGTTGTGAAATTATGCAAGGGCTGTGTAGATTTCAGTGTTCTAATAGGATTTGGAATAGATCTCTTAAATGCTCTTCCAGAAAACCTGCTCCTGAAAGTTGCTGGGAATGTGTAGGTGGACAAGCCCTTAGTAAAACTGCTGATAGCACTGCCTGTTACTGGTAGTATGCACAAAGGAAAAATATTAACTCACTTATGGTAAACACTGGTTTAGAATAGTAACCCAGGTCTTAATTGCACTTGTTCCTGGAGGTGCTTTGAGTATCATTACAGTTATTGTAGTAAGTTCTTTTATTTGAAGCTGTATTAAATTCATGAACTGCTAAATTGTGTTGTAAATCCATGACTAAGTGACTCTCAAGGAACCTTTGCTACCAGGAAACCCACAAGGGTTTTTCCTTTGTACGGCTTCCTTCTTTTATGGAACAGAAATGTCTTGTATCACAGAGAGAGAACTGGTTTTCTTTTCACAGACACAGGTCTTAGATGTAGTTGTACAGAAGCACTGATTTTATTCTTGGGGTCTTTCTCTAGGCATTCCCAGACACCACTGTGAGATGCAGTACCTTTGTAGAGTACAAACACCCTCTTAATGTATTTTAGGACTAAGGCTTTAGAAGTGGGTGAAAATCATAGAATCATAGAATGGCCTGGTTGAAAAGGACCACAATAACCATCTAGTTTCTACCCTGCCATGGACAGGGTCACCAACCACCAGACCAGGCAGCCCAGAGCCACATCCAGCCTGGCCTTGAATGCCTGCAAGGATGGGGCATCCACAACCGCCTTGGGCAACCTTGGGCAAGCATGATCAAGCACACATAGTACCATAAATGGGTATCAGGGCAACTGAGGGGAAAGTTTTGAGGTTGAAGGTAGAAATGCATGGAAGGTATCAGCTCTAATGAAGTCAGCACACCATGCCAGTAGGAATGTAGAGATACAGTCTCACATATTCCAAGCAAGGAATATGCATGTAAAGCAGTCAGATTCGATCATTTGGTTGTGAAAGTGCTCACAGTTCTTATACAAACACAGACTGGGGGATTCTTTTTGCCTATTAGGAGCTTTACTGAAACAGCACTGTTTTTCATCCTTTTCTAATCCCAACCTACCTCCCTTTCTTCCCAATTTTTCTTCAACCTATATTTTTCAAGTCAAATTACGCTCTAGACCGTCTCAAAAAACAGTGACCATTTGTATCTCATAAAGAATTTAACTCACAGGAAGTAGCTTATAGCCTGAGATATACATACATGACTAATTAGGAAATTTGGAAAAGGATTCTTGAACTGAGTAACCCTTTCTCTCCATGCTTTCTTGTAGCTTTAGAGAGCAACATTATACAGTTAAAAGTTTATCCTTGTTCTTCATATATATTATTAAAAATAACTTAAATCAAGAGAATCTAAACAGCCTGAAGGCATGTCTTAATGATTTAGAGCAAGCTCAAGCCTGGCTGTTGAAGAACTTAATGTTTCTTACTACAATAGATTTTTCAAAGCAAAGCTTTAAAGTCTGTTGCAGTGTTGAGCCAGCGCTTAGTGATACAGGAGAAATAACCAAGCAGTCTTCAGCATAAATGCAGCTACTGGGAATGTGTGAAGGTTCTTAAATCACTGTAAAGATCTGTTTCCAAAGATCTTTTCCCTTCCAGATGAGACACTTGCCACAAATATTGCTCATTACAAATTAGCTACAGGGTGTAAAGGTCCACAGCAAATTCAAGAGGAGTGTTATATCATTTTCTTCTTACCCTGTTTCTTCTTCCCCACTGTAAGCTTCAAATGACTTAAATTACAGTGAGTGAAAATGACACACGTGAAATGGGTTTGGTCTTTGCATACATACTTGCATGTAGGAAGCATTTTGGAAAGGTTGTATAAAAGCATTAATGTATAACAGCTGGAGTCATACTGCCTGCTGACCTTGCCACATTGTCATTTTGCTGATTTCTGCTGGAATTGGTTATAATTCAGTCTGTGTTCCAAACTTGTGTATTTTTTTTTCTTTTTTTAATGCTCTAAACTTCAACAGAAGTTAAAGCCACTGAATTAATAGATATGTGGAAGTAAAAGTAATGTATTTTTTTCCTCACTTAAGGTCAGTGTGATAAGAAACTTGAATCTAGACAACAGCTTCGAGTCAAGATCAGAAGCAAAAGACATTTGTGCAGTGAGCGTCATGCCAGTCCCATCTGTGGGTGTCTCATCATCAATGAATGACGATGAAGCCTTGCTGAATATGGAGTCAGAAGAAGAAGCTGTTACTCCTGAAAATTTCAGTGAGGGAACATCTTCTGGTCCTCCTCTGGAGGCATCAGACAAAGTGGAAGAGACCTCTGTGTGGGAAGATACAGAAATACCTTCTGATGTTGAACAGAATCATACAGAAAATTTCATTTCTGATAGTAGCCAAACAGATGTATGTGGTAACTCCTCAGGTCCAGTGATTTCTGCCACAGAAATTCGACAAGCAGTCATTCCAAGCAGCTGTCCCAAGTTTTCTGGCTATGACAAGCCTCACGTACCACTAGATATGTTGATAGACGTTGGTGAAGAGCAGCCTGTGATTGCATACAGGTCAACGGAGTAACTGCGATAGCTGAAATGTTTAACCAGAGGTTGTAAACAGCAGCATTACTGAAGAGAACAAAGAGTCTGGGCTGTGTTTTGGATGTCTACAGGTTGTGCTTGTACTGATGGAAACAGCATAGCCAGTATCCACCTTAATGCAATGGAATCTTGAAATGGAACTGAGAATAGTGCCTGAAAACTGTATCAAAAACTTTGGGGAAGGATTCATGATAGCCTGTCTCTTACAGAAAAGTTTGTGTGTAGGACATGGCTTACTATTTCTTGTTTGAACAAAATGATTGTGTTGTTTGAACAGTACTCCATGAAGGGCAAAGGTTTTATTGGGGAGTGTAAAAAGAGCTGCTGTGTCAACTATTCCTTTCTGTTTCAAGTACTTTTCAAAGGTAATGAACTGAATGCTTAATGAGTCCTTGGTTATGACAGAGATGTGCTAGAAAAATTCAACTTTTTTCAGAAGTATTTTCTTCCTTATATTTGCATTCCCTAAAGTGCTTGAAGAGTACTAGGAAATCCTAGTATTTCCTTTAAGTAAGAATATAGTTGTAACTTTTTCCTGTGTCATTTAAGAACTTGATTTTGTGGCCAAGAACCAGTTGTTTATCCTCTTTTCTGCAACTGCAGGTGTGTACCAGAGCCATTACTTAGCACATTTCAGTGAGTAAATATTAAACCTTTTTTTTCTTTTTTTCTCTTTTTTATTTTTTTAACTTGAAAGCACAAATCTTGTGAAAAGCTGTTCTTTAAAATTTCTGTATGGCAGGATCCAGCTGCCTATGTGTGTTGTGGTAATGTCACATTTTGGATAGCTCCCATATAAGTGTACTAGCTGGTCCTTATTGGAGTGAGGGAGGGGAAAGAAAGAAGCATGTAACAGGCACAGGCAGTTACACAGATTCTTTGGAAAGAGGGGAAGTTTTTTCCAACTGCATAAGATGCATAAAAATGCATGTCTTCTTCCAGAGCATATTTTTCCTAAATCTTAGAAGAATGTAGAGTTTTCTAATAGAAACCAGCATTACTTCTGCCAATCACATTTTTTTTGCAGCAAGTTAAAAAATGACAAAAAGGTAGTAATTTTTGTGACATAACTCAGGAATCATTAATCATAGAATCACAGAATGGCCAGGGTTGGAAGGGACCTCAAGGATCCTGAAGGTCCAACCACCCTGCTGCAGGCTCTCTACATTTAATACATACCTCTACATTTAATACTAGACCAGGCTGCCCAGGTCCCCATCCAACCTGGCCTTGAACACCTCCAGGGATGAGGCATCCCCAGCCTCTCTGGGCAGCCTGTTCCAGCACCTCACCACTCTCATAGTAAAGAACTTCCCCCTAGAAACTGCACCAAACTGTAAACACTCAGAAATACATCTCAAAATAGTTGAGAAGTAGTGTGATAATGTGGAGTTCTTACATCACTGTTATCTGCTCTGGATGTTTTCATGCAAGATTATAATTTTGAAAAGTAAAAGATGTGAATCTTATTTTTTTTCTATTTAAAAACTTTAGAAGTCTGATGCCTACAAATCAGTTATTTGCCCTTGAGTCCACATTTGGTGGTGTTTTTTTGTTGTTATATGACTGTAGGAAATGTTTGTGATAATACCAAAGGTTAGTTTGAAGAAAAGGTGTATTTTTACAGGTAGTAAAACACAGGCTTAAGGAAGTGCATGTAGAAAACTGTCTTTGTTTTAAAAGATAGTTTTTGTAGGTATATCAGAAATGTTTACTTTCTATAGCAGGTTGTTTTAAAGGAACATGTACTTTTGTCCTTATATTTCTCAGTGGCATGAGTATTCCTAATGTAAAGCTCACACGGCAGCTACTGGACTGCTTCCTTTCCTGTAGATGACTGACATTAACCACAATTGTATATGCTGAATTCCCAAAGGTTTGAAGACAATAGCAATTTTTCCCATTCTCTGTTCACAGGAAGATAACAGTTCCATTAACAGTTTAGGAAAAACCAAATCAAACAGGTGAATTCTGTAACTATGGTATAATGGAGAACCCAGCTAGAAAGATTAATGTGTTACCTGGCTGTGATTTGTTCCTTTGTTATAGTCAAGTGTGGTGAGACCCCAGGGTAAGTTGGTTTTTGTCATGTTTGGTTTGAGTTCCTAGAAGGCACTGTAGGTGAAGTAGTGCTCAGAGTGCACTAATGTATGGATATCTTTGCTGCAGACATGAAGAGAACAACTCTTGGTGTTACACAAAAGCTTTGAAAATTAGAAATAACTTGCGGTCGAACCTTCAGCTCAGCTGACTTCTCAGTTAATGGTTCACCACTGACAAGTACTTTCAGCTGTCTGTTCTGCCAAGGAGGTGTTTCGTGCAGAGCTGCAAGGTGCTTTCATTCTTTCACTGTCATTTCTTTCAGGCTTTGTTTGTTTGTTTATAAATAGGAACTGCCAGGAATACCTCAGGACTTGACAGATTTTAGCTAAGTGCCTAAATCTAACTTAGGTCTGCCTCAAGGTTCAGAAGGGAAAAGCAGGGTCTTAGAAATCACTGCATTAGCTTATTTTAGGAAAGGAAGGTTGTGACCAGATATTAATTTGTTGAGTAACTTTTTCCTTTGCTAACGCTCAGCATATTTCAGCTTAGCATACTTTACACCTTATTTTCCTTCTCTCAGCTTTGTCCTGAACTGCTACTGTACCCCAAGGAGATCAAAACTTAGCTGTTGTAGGCATTCCGTTTAGTGTGTCTGCCTCAAAACTATTCTGTCATAAGTATGTAAGTTCTTGGAAATGTGAGGTTTACGTTCTTAACTCTTTGTTGGTACCCTGCCACTGTTAGAAAAATTATTGCCTGAGAGTAGGCATCATGGATCTGTGAACAGAATAGCTCTCCAATTATTTGCTGTTCTGGAAAAGTATTTCTTTCTGTTAAATTTTTGCTGGAAGAGAAGTGGTATTTTTTTGCCTGTTTGAGAGCAGGCAGACCAAGTATTTTGTTGTTTTCCCCCACCACTCTTAGATACTACTGCATTATATGCTGTTTTTTCTGGATCGTTCAAGATGTTCTGTGGGCCAGTAGGCTTCGTGTTCCCCAGGCCTTTCTACAGCAGTTGTCAGCTGGAATGTTAAGAGTGAGACTAAGAACAGAGCAAGTGCACGATGGTATTTCTGCTAGGATCTGATCTGGTTCCCAGCAGCTGCAGCGTGAAATCTTTTTGGAGCAAGGAATGCAGAAATGCCTCACCAGACACAGCACTGCTTTGGCAGCTCTACCGTACCAAAAAATTGAGCCATGTCAGTTTGAAGATAGAATAGGTAGTATTTAGTTATACGTTTTCATTTATCCATTGAATGTATTTAAATGAATAAGCTCATACTCTTTTGGTGAGAACAAAAGCTTTGCTGAAGCTCCTAAATATTTGTTTATAGTACCTTGACAGTGGATATTAAGAAGCCTAACACTTGCAGGGTCAAAAGCACTTAACATGCATGCTGCTTACTGACATAAAATATCAGCTATTCAGTATGACACACAGGGAAGTTTTTACCACTTTTACCTGTTTCAGGTGATTTTTTACTCTTGTTACGGCTGCTCAGCATCTTTCTCTTCCTATCTCCTACAGATGATTTGGGAGTCGATAGAGTGCAAGACTTCAGAACGTTCTGTGCTTTGTCAAACCATGTGCATCACAGCCTTTGGGGCTAATGCCTAGCAACTTCTCTAAGAGCTGCTTTCACTGTCCTTTTTGCACAGACGCTGTAGTTTTATACTCTGTGGTTAGAGTCATAGGGTGCTTTGAGTTGGAAGGGACCTTAAAGGTCATCCGGTCCAACTCCCCCACAATTAAATATTGCAGCAGCCATCTGTGCTGTGCTGGCACAGAAGGGTAAAATGTTCTGGATTTCTAATTTTTCTACATAAATAATGTAGCTTAGAAATAGTTATTTACAAATCTGTTGGCATCTGTGAAAACAAAATGCAGCGGCTGGGTTGCTTAGCTAAGTTTGTATGTAGCCCGTCACTAGTTTGGATTCTAGGTAATAAGGTGTCATTGCAAAAACCTGTTTTTCTCAACTAAGGCTTGAAATAACTGACTACTCTGAAATGGTGCCATATAAGCAGTTCAGTACTAGTGGATAGAGCTATTGCACTTAATTCATATTAGTAGTTTCAGCATGTCTTTTCTTAAATGCACCTTTTCATCTTCCGAGTTTCTAAACCCAAAATACAGATTTCCTACAGTGACCTGCATAGATTATTTTTAAGTCTGGTTTTTAAAAATTCAGTCCTTTAAATAGAAGGTCTGTATTTATTCTTACACTCTGTGTTCTCTAAATGGATGCAAGCATCAGACCGTGTGGAACCTCCACAGGCCTGCAGTTTGTCTCCCCAGATGGGCATTGTTCCTTCTCCGCATCTATCTGAAGACTTCACAAAGCCACCAGGCAATCTGCTCAAGCCGTTGTCATCCTTAGAAAGCATTTCCTTAATGTCTAACCCAAGCCTTCCTATCTTCAGAAACCATCTGCAGTGAGCCTGTCTCAATTTTATTACCAGTGTAAGTAGTCTATCTTAAAAATGTTTGTATATGGAATTAAAAAACCTCAAGAGACAAGTGTGTGTGTGCTCTCCTTTTTCCTTCTGTCAGCTTCTGTGCTGAAGACTCAGTCTGCTTTTGAAGCGTGCTCAGTTAACTCACAGTAGGTAGCACGTGCTTGAGTATTACTGAAAGTGAATGGACAGCACTGGGGGGCTGTGTAATTGTTTGTAGGCAGTTACTGTATTCTACTTGCCAGATGTATTAGCATGTAGAATTCATTTCAAATTAGAGCTGCTGCTTGTTTGTTCTCAAGAGTTTGAGTGAAATACCACCTACTACAGTCAACGGCGATCCTCTGATCGACACAGAGGACACGACTGCATCCTCTTGCTGGAAAAGTCTCTCTCCTTTGAGGTCATACAGTGCCATTCCCCTGTCTTGGAGGGATGGGGGCCTGGCGCACAGCAGGAGCTCTTTGTGATCCACTGGTTCTGGCTACATCATCAGCTTTGCAGTTTCATGTTTTGCCCAGCAGCTCTGTTCACACCACTGATGCAGCATGCAGCAACTTCAGGTCCGATGCTGAAGCCTGGGGACTGTCCTCACATGCTATTTAAAAATGTTGTCTGAGGGTTAAATGCTCAAATGGGTTCATTGCTACAGAGTGAGGAAAGCCAGGTTTCCCTGAAACTCCTACTAGCATCTTTGTTTGAAGCTTAAGTAAATAGAAGACTCTTAGATATATATTGTTCACTTTTTAACTGTGATCAAGTGCACTCTGATGTGTATCTTGGAAATAAGATGCTACTGTCATGCTGATTTACCCAACAGGATTTAAAATAGTTTTGATTTAATTTCATAGGCAAATCTAGAATGTGCCATTTCGAGGCATTTTCTATTCCCTCCATCCAAATTCCTCCTTTTGAGTAATTTCTTAACATTAAGAATAGTGCTTTCTTCATGCTGCTTCCAGCTAGGAGATTCAAGCCTTAGGATTTCAGGTTCTCAGAAATGACTGTACAATTTGTGCATGATTTTTTACATGCTCATTTGTGATTGGGCCAAAAACTAATTTCTCATCTGTTTTGTGCAGAAGAAACTTGATTTCCTAGTGTCTGGGCGTACCTTAAAAGAGAAAATGCATTGCAAACAGAGCAAGCAATGAGTGAACAAGCCAAAAGCATCCTCCAGCCAGCTTGCTGTGTTCTGCAGAACTAATGCTGAAGCTGTCAGATACTTGCAGTGTGCGTGCGGCACAGCAGTCAGAGGCAGTGCCAGGTCTGACCCAGCTCTTTCCTGTGCTGACATCTCTGGAGTAGCACACGCTCTGAAAGGTTATGCCCTCTCAAAAATACCCTTCCACAGAATGCATATATAGTCCCTTTAGATTTAAAATAGAGTGCAATTCTTTTCACTCTATCGTCCTTCTGGATGTGGCAGTAGGTGAGTGCAGGGGAGAGACCAGACGTGCAGATGAGGCCCTTCTCCCTCTTGGGCTCTTCCCAGCTGCCCATCCTTATTCCCCATGCCTCTCCACTGCCAGCTAGTGAGGTTATAATTCCTCTCTGTTCCCCATGACTGAGTGAAGCCTCCTGACTGGAGAAGCCTGGCCTTCTTTCAGGCATTGGATAGGAGCTAGTTGTTTGTTTTTTTTCCCCTTTCCTAAAAGTCTTTTTGAATACAATTGGAATAAAGCACGCATGATTTGAGTGGCTGATTACTGATAATGCCTCTATACTACTTCCAGGAGCAGCAAAATTGGCAGTTTTAGTTGACATACGCCATGTCAAGTCCTGCCCACAGGGACTGGGGAAAGGTGACCAGATTAATGAATAGCCCCAGTTAGATGAAGGCAAATAGGTATGCAAGGGTCCGCACAGCCAAATTTCATTTCTCGTAAGATAAAAAAAATTGGGAACTAAGATGTCTTTGTTACCCTGTGACTCTTCTTTCTAGTTAAATGGTCACAGCACAGTGAGCTCAGACACCCCTGAGCAGCATGGAAGCCAGTTCTGCTGAGCATGCAAGATTCTGTCCCAAAAGCTCGTTCTGCAGATTCATGAGTGCATGGAGATTTGTATCCACACGAGGCACTCTTGCTGTGTTTTTGTTTTTAAAGAAAAAGTCTTGTGAAACTCATGTGCTCACCGGCCTGGCTGTTTTGGGAATAGCAGTGCTAAAGGTCATTAGAAGAGTTCAGTTCTAGCGTGCGCTCTCCAGATGATGGGGAGCCCCTATTGAGAAGCCAAAGGATGAGCAGAGAGCCGACCTGCAGGCTGGAAGGTGTGATGCTTGTGGATCTTAACTTGCAGAACAGATGAGTGACAGGACATCAACTTTCTTTAATATTTTCTAGATGCGAATGGTATATAGAAAAAGGCAGGGTGGGAGGAGGGAAAAAAAGTCTGTGAACATACACCGTGACCTAGCTTCCTTCCTGCACAGAAACCTCGCAGAACTAAGCACATCTGAACTTCAGAATAAAGTCCCTGTGATTGTCAGCAGTTAGTAGTGCAGTGTAATGAAGGAGCCACTGGCCTGAAAGGCACAAAGGGTTTCAAAATCAGCCTGCAAAAAAGTTGTAGCATGGGCTCTTGCCAGGTCCTGTGCTTTGGTCAAAATAATCCTGCGCAATGCCACAGGCATGGGGCAAAATGGCTGGAAAGCTGCAGAGTGGAAAAGGATCATGGAATGCTGGTCAATAGCAGCCACCAGGAGCAGGGGAGACCTTATCACTCTTTACAGCTGCCTGAAGGGAGGTTGTGGTGAGGTGGGGGTTTGCCTCTTCTCCCAAGTAGCACTGACAGGGAATGGCCTCAAGTTGTGTGAGGAGAGGTTCGGGTCGGATATTAAAAAAACTTTCTTATTTGAAAGAGCAGTGAGGCATTGGCACAGGCTGCCCAGGGAGGTAATAGAGTCACTGTCCCTGGAGGTGTTTGAAAACAGCGTAGATGTGGCACTGAGGGATGTGGTCAGTGGGCATGGTGGGGGTGGGCTGGTAGTTGGACTTGGTGATCTTCAAAGTCTTTTCCAGCCTTTATCATTCTGTAATTCCTGCCCATGCAGCTGACAGCTCAGGCATTGCCTCAGCTGCTGCTGGCAGTGGAGCAGAGAGCAGGCACTGGCATTGCCTGCCTTCAACTCACCTCTCTTTGCTCCAGTAGATGGACAAAGGCGGTATGCCCAATGTTTGTATTGTGCCTCTCCTGCCTAATCTGTGTTTCAGCTGGCCAAGCAATCACCTGGCATGCTTCCTACACTTCTAACATTGCTTCAACTAAAGCAAACAAAAAACCTTATGTAATAGTAACTCCACCTGTCTCTGCTGGTAGGCTTTAGCTTCCGGGTGCTTTGGGGGGGGACCCACAAGCTGACGGAACCCAGGTCTTTTATCTGTGTGCTAAAACTAGCTGTAGTGCTTTAGCAGTAGGAAAAAAAAACATAAGGCTTAGCAAACAAGAGAAACAATCAGTCTCATTAAAGAAACTTGTCAATGGAAATGGTGCCTTTGCACCATTTTCGTATTTACATTCTCTACAGAGAGTGAACTTTGGTGTTGGTTACTAATGTTGTGGTGCTAGGCAATGTCTCACACGTTGTTAAATAAGTATTTCAAGTGCAAATAAGGACTTGCTACAGAGGGAGCTTTCAGCACGTTCACATTTCTTACTATGAAAGTGCAGATATGACACTTGGCATTTTTTACTGTAATCTCCCAAACGTTGAGGCAAGCCCACTGACTGCGAGAGGTAAACAGTTCACACCTGTGGGCAGGAAGCAAAGAATACCCACAGTATATAGAGAAAGTCAGTCTCACTTCCTTAGAAACTTTTCTGTAATAACTCTTGTGATGTAATGCCCCTTCCCTGAAGGGCTGAGAAATAAAAGTCCCCGTTGCTTGGATGTGGGTGGTTGATGTGGGTTTTTTCTTTTGGATTTTTTTTGTTGTTGTTTGTTTTTTTGATTCATGTTCAAAGTCACTGGTAAGGCAGTGAAGGGCTGCTGCACACAATGTGCCAGAAGAGGCAGGGAAGTGGATTAGGAGGGGATCTCAGCACTGTTGCCAGCTGGATGAATGGGGCACTTACAGAAAATACAGGCGGGTTCTGCTCAGAGACTTGCAACCTGAACACAAAAAGCCACTGTCATGGGTTGCAGCAGGGAAATCCCGATTCGATATATGAGGGAGGAGCTTTCAGTGGGAGTGGTTATGTGTGAGGTGACCCTGTTATCAGCTTGGAGCGTTGGGTTGGACAAGCTGAGCTCCAGAGCCACCAGCCAAGAGAGGCTGTTGCATGGGTCTGAGCCTATGAAACCTATGTGCAGACCTGCACCCAGTCGTAGAGGTGGCTGCGGGAGGAGCCCTTCTGGGGTCACATTTTCTCTCTTACGGTCAGGAATATCTTGCTCTAGCAGAAAGTAAAGCAATAAGGTGGAGCTATCAGATGGGATGAGTCAGACAGCTTCCAGCAAGAAGGTACTCAGCTTTCACCTCTGTGTGGCAATAGCCATTCTTCAAGAGGAAGAACTCTGTTTACCCAGTATTTGGACAGGTTTTTATTCCAAGAATGGAAAAAATTCTGGTGCCCTCAGTTCTGTCTGTTCACAAAACCACAGAACTGCTGTGTCACAAAGGTCTGGGTCAAAGCAAATTCTGCAATGTAAGTAAGCACTAATGTAGATGCTGCTGGGGAAAGGAATGTTTTCATTTTCATTTCATTGTAAGTACCATTCAAAGTATTCTTAAGCAGCACTGTTTCTTATATGTTCTTATTTATTTAAATGTGCTATAGATGTGTTGCACTCAAGATGAGTATGTCTATATGGGTGTGTGCAGCTGCCACTCACTAAAATGTAATTGTCTTTATCGCAAAGAGCACTGGGGAGACATGACTGAAGTTCATGAGAAGGAAAATGTTACAGATAAAACATGGGGATTATCAGTGGGTGTTTCAATAATGGTGAAATTATGTGAAGAGATTGCATTACATTGCCAGGCCCAATTACAGAACAAGCACTATTGATGCTGTGTGGGAAGCCCTGACCTTTTCCATGACCCAGGTGTTTAGCCATAGCAAGAAGCAGTCTTTCTGTATTTGGAAGGGAGAACCAAAGGGGCATCCAGCCTGGTCCCAGTCATGCAGCCACCCAATCCCAGCTCTGGGAGGTCTTGCCGTCATGGGAGGTGCTGCCACCAGCAGTGATTCTGGCAGAGCTCCAATCTTGGGTCCTGGTAAGGTGTGTTGGTACAATTCAAGTAAGTAAATACACAATCTGTGACAGGTGTGACTAAAATCTGATGGCATTTCAGCCTGCTGATCAGTTCATAAAGTTCCCTATTCCCACACTTGAGCTCATATAACATGATGAAATACTCATTGTGTGTGTTGTGGGGAATTTCTTAAAAGTCACTGAATTTCGAAAATGTGTTTGGTAAATGGATAGATACAAAATTCCCAGAAAGCAATGCCAAGACTTCCTCCCCACCTTCTACCTTGATTTTCTTTTCTTTCTTTGTTTTTTTTTTTTTCCTTTTCTGCATTCCTTCTCAGCTAACACCACATTCTGGTAACTAGCTATTCAGAGTTACACATCTACAGTTTTAATGTGCTTGCTGCAAATTCAGTGTGCGCATGATGTGCATGTGCTCAGCTGAAGTCACCGAGACCAGATTCTTGATTAGGTTGTGTTTAGTTTGCCTACTGCAATCAAATGCCTTTTGATCAAAAAAAACACCTTAATTTGCACAATAACTTATACTTTTTTTCGTCCCGGCAGCGTTTTCTTCTGTCTTTCTTTTTCCCAAAGCCAAGGTGAGGAGTTAGGCAAGTTTCTGCAGAGATGACTTGTTCCTGCAACCAGGTGGTTTCTACCTTGGTTATTCATTGGTGGGCATTACTACTGTGTGCTGCTCTACACTGTGCATGTTTGGGTTGTCTCTTCTTGCCCACTGATGTGTGCAGGAGGTGAGGGCACCTGGCTCATGCTGGGATACCCAGTGTGCCAGCATTCGGCATGACCGCATTGTCCATACCACCCATCAGGCAACAACTGGCCCCCTGCAGGCTGGCACACACAGCAATAAAGGACCTACCAGCACAGAGTGAGGTCACTTTATCACAAGCCCAGCATCCCATTCTGGGGCTGTGGGATATGCATACCAGTGGTACAGCATTCAGAGTTGCCGTGGTGCACACAGTGTGGCAGTACGCCCAACGTGTGTCCAATACACAGTGGCACTTTGACCAGTGGGCTGGGCTCAGCCAGCCCCAGCCTCCAACCATCTCTCCACAGCAAAAACTGCAGCAGTTTCATGTCCCCGTGTCCCTCTGATGACATGATCCTAAATGGCATCCTGCACTGAATGTTCCGACAGCCTTCACTCTTGTGTTCGACCCCAAGACAGGCCACCAAGATGACATCTCATTGCTGTTTTATGTTATTCCAGCAAGATTTTGTGTTCTGCAGCACTGAGTGACTGGCAAGCTGAAAAACAATATCCTAACAGAGCGAAGACGCAAGCTTGTGTGACATATTTTTGGGATAAAGCAATATTGCCAGACATTTGGGAATTAGTCCCTGAAAAAAAAGGACATTTTTCTCATTGGTTTGCTTCATAATTAGTTCCAAACTTCAGAGTGAGTGCAGTTTCCAAGTAGGAACAATTGCTTGTGTTTAATTTAGAACAATTCATATGTTTCTCAACTAAATTAAATCAAAGCCACAGCAGGGACTTTATAAATGGAGAAGTCATTTTAATAATTACTTCCTCATAAGACATGCCCAAGAGGAAAAGAGATGCTCTCAGTCATGGAGCTGCTCTCCTAAGCATGAGGGGGATCAGGCTTTCCTCCCTCTGCTTTCTGATGCACCTGCTGCAGGACAAGATAAGCAGTAAGTAAAGGCTTTCAATTTTCTTCCTACCTGGGGAGGAGGGCTGGGTCTGTTCACAAAGCTGGGCAAGTCAGGAAATCTCTGGATTCAGAGGCTGGTTTCAGAAGTCCTGTCATTTCCAAATTAGTCTCATTTTGCCTTTCAAAATGCAGCTGAAATGAGTGTGATGTTTATCACATTTACTTACAGTTCTGTTACCAGTTTCAGTTCAATTCTGTGTGTCTGAGTCTCTGGTTCTGAGATATACTGCAGATAAAACTGTGGGCACATGAAGTCAGGTGGGTCATGAAATCCAGAAACCTGTTAGGATTTGGATGCTTCAGGAGTGTTAACTGATTTTGTCACCTGTATCTGTTTCACTTTGGAAACAGCTTATCTTGAAAGCTGTCAGACAGCTTTTTCCATCAGTTCAGATGAGAAAAACAGTGAATGTGATACTATTTTATTAGGCAAGAACAAACAAACACAGCCGTGGTAACTATTAAAACATAAATACCGTATACTATACACCATTGTTAAAATATAGTTCCTGCAGGCTAAATTTGAGATAGGAAGGACAGAGCACCTACCTTTAACTACTGGTGCAGCTGTGTACTGCATGCTTTAGGAGCCGATCGGAAGGGTTTGTCTGCTGGGGTGTCCACTGGGCATCTTTAATGGCAGTAAATTCAATTATGAAAGAAAAAAAAAAAAAAAAAACAAACAACAAACAAACAAACAAACAAAAAAACACCATGATTTGTTCCTTTCACAATCCTGGCTGTGGTCTGTAATTTCTACATCTGCTCACTGCAACGTGGAAAGTTTGGAACATGAGACCCAGATTGAACTTCCCTACCAGCTGCTAGCCTAGAACCACCTGAGCAGCGTGTGCCTGGATGCAGAGGTGCCTGCCTGAGAGAAATGTGTGCTGTCACTGTTTCTTACTATTTGCAGCCATTCCAGTCCTGGAAAATCGAGACCTGCAAGATGCAATCAAGCCACGGGGGGTACGGTTTTACTCACTGAATTTCAACAATACCCTGCGCTGGCTGCCTGGAAGGGCTGGAGAGGGAGAAACCACGCTCTACTTTGTGCAGTATAAAGTGTAAGTGCCGGGGGAACTCCAGCATGCCTCATCCAGCAGCAGCCCATCCCTGCTTGGCAAGCCAAAGGGATCTCTCAGGTGCCAAAGGATACCTGGGGCACAGCCATGTCCTTCACCGCTGCCAGCTCCCTGCACTTATCACAAGCCCGTAAAGTGCAGCTGAGCAGCCTGAAGGACATGGAGGTCAAGCACGTCTAGCAACGTGACGCACACCCTCATGGCACCTCAGCATGGCACATACATGCAGTTTGTGTGGGGGGCCTCTGAGACCATCAGCCTGCCCCAGGCAGGTCTGGCAGGCCAGGCATCTTGCAGGAGCACAATCAGGGGTTCGGTGGCCACTGTGCCACAGGGTGCAGTGCTGTTACCTGTTCCTCAGAGGGAGCCTGCTCCACAAGGGAGGCCTGGTCCAGTCCAGCACCTCACAGCATGAAAGCCTTTGGTTCCTTTGGGGAATAGACTGTTACAAGTCTGCACAAATCTGTTTGATGATAGCTAGGGCTCGCATTGCTCCTCCTTTTCCCAAAGGTATGGGCAGAGCAAGTGGCAAAACAAAGAAGAGTGCTGGGGGATTCAGAGCCATTTCTGCGACCTGACAGAGGAGACTTCTGACGCCTATGAGGCTTACTACAGCAGGGTGCAAGCCGCTTCCACTGATGTCCGCTCCGACTGGAGCCTCAGCTGCAGGTTCACTCCCTGGAGAGAAAGTAAGTGCAAACACACGGGCTCTCTGAGCATGGGGCTGGGTTTTCTGCAGCATGGAGCACAGCATTTTTGCTCCCAGTCTGCTGTCAAAAGTGATCCCCTTCTAGCTAGAAGACTGTACCAAAAGAAGTTGTGTGTCCACAGCTCTCAGGTGAAGTGTTTGCGACATAATAACTTTCCCCACACTTGAACCAATTTCAGATGAGCAACATCTTAGCTACAATTCGGGGATCAGAAATCCTTGGCTCCCTTCCACTCAACCTCTTCCTCAACGCATGGAACTCCACAAAATACTTGCAGCAGTTTTGGGGGCTGCTGGAAGGATTGAGCACAGTGTGAAGAAGGAAATGTTCTCTGCTGGAGGGAAAGGGGAGAAGAGAGAAGGCAGCTGCATAGCCAACAGCCTTCTCACATGCATGCGTTTTTCCCACATGTATTCTCTTGGCAGTGGTGTATTTAGAAAGGGCACACACAGAGCTTTTAGTTAGTACAGCCATTGTAATTCCATAGTGCACAATGAAACTGCAGGACTGTTAGCACACTAAGCAGTGTCAGTGTACCTACCAGTAAGCTCCCATAAATTATCAATTTTTTCCCTCTCTGGTCAATGTAAAACTGAAGTGTAGTCACCAACACAAGTCACTCCACAGCCCTGAAGCACAAACTAACTTGTCCTGTGTAGGCAAGACCGCATGCTTTGAGCTAGAGCTGCATCTTGCAGCAGCAGCAGCTCACCTTGCCCTGCACCACATCCTCCTGAGAAAATGTGGGGCAGCCACTGCCTTCAGGGGTACACAGGCACGATGTGAAACCTCAGCTGTCTTTAACCAAGCAGGCTCCATGAGTTCGGAGAAGAATGACTGAAGCTGTCCTTGACCTGAAATGGTTCAAACATTTCTGCAGCTCAAGATAGCAGAAAAACATGAAGAAAAAGAATCAGGGCAAAGAATCCAAAGCATTCTGTTCTGTGGATCATTATTAATAAACATGCTACAATCATACTCACAGCTTTGTTTATACCCTTAGCTATGATAGGACCTCCAACAATAAAGGTGGTTCACAGCAACAAATTTGTAATACTAAAGCTCCAGGCTCCACGTTCGGCTTATAAAAGGAAGAGAGGCAGCATGATACCAATGACAAATTATTATGATCTTCTGTACCAAGTCTTCATAATTAACAACTTGCTAGATGAGGTAAGTACATATTCAGATATAAACTCTTTACCATTGAAAAGCCAAGAGAATATAGGCATACTCTTCCCTTTTACAGCCCTCTGGGATTGGAAGAGTGTAAATGGGTGTGTAAGTATCTAAACACGAAGTAAGCTTATTTTTCAGGAATTGAATTTGGTCGAACTGGGTTGTAATTCATCCCCACTTTCTTCATTCCCATTGGTGTAGTATTTCAGAATCTAAAGCCTAGTTGAAACAGTTGGGAAATGAGGGCAATTTGGGGTGTTTTGTTTTTTTTTTTTTTAAGAAAGAAAAGAAAACAACACCAAAACTAACACATAAATAACTAATGCTAGTTAATGTTGTTGACTTAATGCCAACCCATGTGTTGCTCTGAACTTTTCATCCTTCCCAGCTTAGTCATAGACACACATGCATGACCAGCTGTTTCTCCTCCCTCTGTCTGAAGCAACACAGAGTGCTGGTGTACGAAGGAAAAGACAAAGTGATCAAAATAGAAGACCTGAGGCCGGGAATCAGCTACTGCATCGTGGCTAGAACATCAGTGCTGGTGCTGGGCCGCAGCAGTGCCTACAGCAACAGACAGTGCACTGTGCTGCTGTGACCAGGTGGCCGCTGCCGCAGGCCAGAGCCAGAGAAGATGCAGCAAGCTGACACCCACCCGCTCCCCAAAAGGAGAAGGTGGCACATGGCAGGAACGCTGCTGTCTCAGAGGGCATCGTTTGCCAGAGTTCTTGCATCTTCTTGGCTCGTTTCACTCCAGACGAGAATGATAAGCCCAAAAAGGCTAGAAGAACGGTGTGGATAATTATTTGCATGCTGTCAGAGTGCTCAGAAATGCCTCTTTCTTCCCTTTCTTTAACCAGTTATGCATAATATTGTTTCCTCAGTTTTTATTGCCATCATGCAATTATTAACCAGGAAAATGAGTGGTCTCCAGCTTTGTTAACAGGCAATTCTGCTGCAACATCTCTAGGGATTTACCCAGTGTGTTTAGTCTAGATGTACCCATCCTCACTTAATGGCCATTATTTAGGTGTTACGTGTTTAAAAATGAGTCGTTTATGAAATTTCATGAGTTTCTATGAGCCAGAATGCAAGAGTTATTTCAACTAGCTGGTCTGAATAGTCTATTTTCTCACCTCAATCACTGTATTATATTAATGTATCACTTGCTCAGTAGAGAGATTTACTATTCATCCTGCCTTGCAGGTGCCAAGGTGCAAAGCACATTAGGACATCTGTGACACTGGCCACAGCAAGCTTAAGTTTAGGTCCTTTCTAAGAGAGAAAACCAGGAAATCTTCAGACTTTGAGCCTGGGTGCCTCCTGGCTATAGCATAACTGTAACAGATTTTCCTTCTTCTACTTCATCAAGTGATGCATAACATTAGTCTTTCTTGAGATACAGTCAATAGTTCAGGCTAAGGAGCTTGTTTCTAGGTGATTTCCCTACACTGATGAAGAGCTTTCCCTGTACTGTACAAAGCAGAACAGCTTACAGAGGTACAAGAGGGGTGCAGGCAGAAGGCATCTTCAGTTGAACTCCATAGCATACTGCTTAAACATGCACTGCAGCAGCAGTTCTTTCTCTTCCCAGTTACTGCAGTAACGGTGGAGGCTGCCTCCTGTTACAGGCCCAGCTGTAAACTGACATCTGGGGTCTAGAATATGGCTGGACTACACATGTGGATGCTTTTTAAATTAAAATTTGCTGCATTAAATAATTAATTTTATTAATCATTTAATGTTACACAAATCCCAAGGATTCTTTGTATTCCCTATAGCACAACTTAAGACAATATGTATCTGCATTTATATTGTAATAAAAAAAATGTGAAAACCACTTGTGAAAATATCTTTAAGATTGTTTCTACGGTTTTCTATTTTAAAACTTGGAGTTAAATTATGATTTATGAATTAGAAGTTTCAAACACTTTGTTTCTTCTATAGCAAAGGTTGTAGAAGAAAGTGAAATAGAAGTCCTTTAAAATGTGTGCCCAGTGCTATGCCTTCATAGTGTCCTCAGTGTAACATTTCTGGTAGTGAAACCATTGTACAATTAGACAGGAAATCATGTACACTGAAACGGAAAAGATCCTTGCTTTCAGTTAATGACAGACATTTAGGGGGAAGAGAACTCTGTTATAAACCAATAATGATGAACAAACTCTATCCATCACCTGTGATTTCCAACGATTCAACTCTTCCTTGTCTTTGTCTCACAAGAGAAAAGTTTTCCTGGGCAAGGACTGAGTAGATACACACCAAGCCACCAATGGAGAAGGGAAGTGGCTTTTGTCAGTTCTACTAGGTCTGTAACTAATAATAATCTTTGCACTTAACATCATTCTACTATTGGGAATTATATGAGGCAGTGAGAGAGGGCCAGGCATAAGAAAGCAAAGTTTTACCCTTGGGTAAATGGAGTTCCCTGCTACATAGTTGCTCTCCACTTTTCCCATAATTTACAGATACTGGGGTGAATTTTTTTGTCATCAGCACCTCATCTACAAGCAGCACTGCTGAAAGCAGCAGCAGGATGCCAGCAGCAGGAATTGGGGAAGAGGCCATGCTTATGTAAGTGAATGCTGGTCACTTGTGCCCTTACCAAAACAAAAAAAGACATCACATACTAAATATTTCTGCCATCTGATTCTAACACGATGTATTTGAATGACTTCTCTTGCAAGAATCTAATCATGTCCACACACTTAGTCCATAAAATCAGGTTTCCTGCTCAGTGCTTCCCTATTTACTCCTCTCCCTCTTCTTCCAGTGGTTTTACTGTGTCCCTATTGCACAGTTTCTTAATTCAGTTACATTTATTTGGAAAATGAGACTACTTAAACCTCGAAACAATACCGAGCCCCATGACAAATTCCAGATCTCAGCAACTGCTGATAAGTTGCAAGAACTGCATGCAACCTGCACGATGCTGCCCTGCTCTACCCCTTGCACTGGGCAGAACCTCCATAAAACTGCTCAGGCAAAGTGTTAGGAAACAGCACGTTGTGTATTGCAGCACTGATGATTTCATCCACTTGTGACTTATCACAACCTGAAGATATTTGCAGTAATTCAAGTTCTTTCTCAAATTCACTTCTTGCCTTAGTGCAGCTCATTTTACACTTGTTAAACTAAGATGAACTTTTATTATGGTCACAGCTACTAATCCTGGTCAGGGAACAGTCTCTAGATACAGTACCCATGTCAGATTTAGAGCATAAAAATGTTTAGGATTCTAAATCTTCAACAGAATTTATAAAGAAGAAGATGCCTGAAGAGTTTGGACCTGGCTAGAAATGTAGTAGGTGCCATGCTATAGAATCATAGAATCCTCAGAGTTGGAAAGAACCTTTAAAAGTCATCTAGTCCAACTCCCAACTCCTATGGACTCACAGAAGTTGGAAACCAAATTATTTTTCTTTTTTAACTTGATAAAATTATACAGAATTGTACAGAGGGAAAAAGAATTAGAAATCTGAAGAAGTCTTGTGCTGTCATATTTGCTAACAACATTTCACTTCCTTAGCAACAACACAGCCTTACAGAAAGTGGTGCAAGAGTTGCAGGAATTGCTTCCATTCTGAAAGCAACTTTATTTATTATTAACAACCGCATGATTTTCTGCAAAAGTCAATTTTCTCTTTCTGTTTGGAATTTGAATTTATTTTTGGCATGGCTTTGCAATGTAATTTTACTAGGGAAGGTTCTGGTAAAATGGTTAGTGCCATATTTTTTCTCCACAGGCAGCAATAGTGCCCTTTTCTCACAACAAGCTCCATTGGGTTTGCAGAACAGAGGGTTCATGCAGGTACCAGCTGCATGATCTACACCCACAGCACCTAGACAGTGCTGGTAATGCTGTTGCTTTTAAAAACAAAATTTTGGATGCCTTACCCCATATGCTGCACTGCTGTTAATATCTCTGTGAAGGCAAAAAGGAGGAATAACTTTCTCCTAGGCTCTGAACTACAGCGGGGCTTTCCTGAAGGCAAGACAGTTTGGAAATAATTGGAAAAGTGAATTCTGGCCTTCTCCCCCCTTCCTTCTCATGGGTACAAGGTTGTCTCTGGTGTGGGTCCACCTCTCAGAGCTGACATGTGGGGTGTTCAGCACATGTGCACACAAGGCAGGATGCCTTCAAGTTGTTGGCTTGATCCCCAGAATGGGGCTGTCCATGTAGAGCACATGCTGGAACTCTCCTGGCCTCTTCTCTGCTGCGAACCATGGAGGGCCTTCTGCAATGAAGCCTGAATAGGGTGGAGGAGAGTAGTGTCCATGCAATTCCCCTACAAGCCATTGCCTCAAGCACCTTTTTAGCATTTGGAGAGAGCTAGGCTCACAAGCCAGCCTTTCAGAGCCTCTGATTGCAGAGGGTGCCTGGCAGGATCCATCTTCTAATGTAGGCCATGGCTAAGGCTCATGAGATTACAGTTGCTGACATTTCCAGCTAGCCTGTACTTCTGGCAAGCAGTTTGCAGGGTCCAGCTGAAAACACCCTCCCCCCAGATTTTTTCCCACTTGCAGAGCAGACACTTCCAAGCAAAGAGCTAAAGCCTGGGTTGAAACTAGATGATCATCACGGCCCTCTTTAACCCAAGTCATTCTATGATACTACAATTCTATAAAATACTGGTTACTAGAGCCACAGCATTTCCATAAAGTGGAAAGATGAAGCAGAAGAACAAAATCAGGACTTGCACAATTTGTTCTCTAAGATCTCGCCTGCTGCATCACTGGGGATGTCCACAGTCACACACACAGCCTGTTGCAGTGGCCTCATGTGACCACATCCTCCTGTCACAGCTGGGGATCCTGCCAACAAAGAAATAAACAAGAAATATAATAATAAATATTATTATAAATTATTTATTTATAAAAAAATATTACATCTTTTAGAGTACGCCATTATTGATCTTTCTGTGAAGTGGAGCCCATCCCACAAGGCCAACCCTTTCTACCTCACCATGCTGAACATTACCTTATCTGTGGAATAGAGTAGCACCTAATCTCCCACTGTAAATGATATCAACTTCCTGTTCCACTGGCACACACAACTGCAATATTTGACTACTAGGCATTCAATAGCAGACTTCTGGAAAAGCTGATGGAGCAACAGCAGTAGAAGCAGCTGCTTCAGCCTTATAAATTAGGAGAATATTATGCATAGCCAGCTGTACCATATAGATGCCCAGTTTTATACGATGCCATGATCCTTGGTGTTCATCATATGGTCTAGCACTGGGCCAACCCTGTTCACATCTCCCATATATTTGCTATAATCAGATGTAAACTTGGGGGTTATTTGCTTGCATGACTTGATCTCATGTAAGAACCTTCCTCATGGCCCAAGGGTGGGGTGTGATTGTGAAATTATGTTGGTTTTTGTATCAGATCTATCAGGTGTTATCAAGTATTCCACTCGCAGTGGATTTCTCCTAAATAGATTATTTTCTGTGTATTTCCTATGGATTTTGATGTTTGCTTCAATGATTGAAGGTATTAATCTGCAGTAAGAAAAGAAGCAAGAAGAAAGCAACTCCTGAGAGTTAGTTTGCCACAAAGGACATAAGACATATAGTAAGAGTACATGTGCAGATAAACAGGGAAAGAAATGGCACTGGTGTTCATCACCGTAAAAACGTACAATCTCCTTAGCTGCTTGTTTTCAGGTTCTTTCATAAAATGTTTTCAAGAAGAAAAAAGCTTGACAATTGAATTTCCCAAATGATGAAATAGCTTGCTGTTGCATTTCAGGTCTTACGAGGCTAATATTCTCTAAGAAGAGACTGTGCACAGAAAGTGACTGGGGATAAAATGCTTGCAGCATTAGAGGAGAAATGCTATTTGAACCAGCCTACAAAACACAAGCAAAGTGAGTTGGATGGCTACATGTCTAACTGCTGGCACAGACACTGAGCAATTTGTGCCTTTGAAAAGGACTGTTACATTAGCATAGAGAAAGACTATTTTTACGAGCGTCCACAGCCAAAGAGAAACCTTACACCTACAGGGGCATGATGTTCATGCATTCTGCTCAGAGAGATATTTCAACAGCAGTCTTTAAGCCCAAAGGGCGATTATCAAGAAAATGTTAAAAGAGAAATTCATCCATGGTAGCGGGAGCTGCAATTACTGGAAAGGCTTATTCATTGTAGCTGTTCAAGAGATAAATCCAGACACACACTGGGGCTGATTCACCTCGGCATAGATACCATTAAAGACATGTATATGTATATGATTTTGTAGTCATTTCACACCAATGAGCAGCTAGGTCCCTCCACACCACTCTTTCACTCTCCATCCTCAACAGACAATAATGATGAAAAAGGGTTAGTGGGCTGAGATAAGGACAGAGAGATCCTTCACCAATTACCATCACCAGACTCAACATAAGAGAGACTGGTGTAGTTTATTGGCTGCTAATAGCAGACTAGAGCAGCGAGAACCAAAAGCAAACTAAAACCACTTCTCTCCAACTACTCCTCTTTCTTCTCCCAAGTGGTGAAGGAGAACAGAGAATGGGGGCTGCAGTCAGTCTGTAACACTTTGTCTTTGCTGCAATCCATGGTTACTCTCCAACCCTGCTCCAACATGGGGTCTCTCCCACAACTTTAGTTTGAGCAAATACAGTGCTTGGGATGCACTGGCATATAGCTGGCAAAAATAGCTTATGGAAAGATTTTTTCCCCCTTTTAAATAATAGAACCATATGAAAAGCAACTGCAAGCACCAAGTTATATTACCAACAGTCATCAAAAGGAACATTATATTGTTAATCTTGCCATGAT